ACTACAACGCTTCGGCTGTCCAGTTCTTTCTCGATGGTCGACCAAATCTTCGTCACAATAAATCTTCGTTGAGCGTGGATGATCTTGTTTTTAGTGTTGTAGTGAGAAATCTAGACGTATTGTAGGTTCATAATCAATCGCATCTGGATCCCTTTCGTTTCTAATCGGAGGAAACTCATACCGATACATATCGAATACGATTTTCAGTAAGTACATGCGATCAACGAACTACACGTAGTCAATCCTTACAGAAGAACAATTGGCGATTACATGCGGACACGAATATTTGAATGTTTGGAATACTCCGTAGTCGCATGTTTTGTCACGTAGATCAATGACGTATGTGTCGTGTTGTATGTCTTCGAATGGCCAAGAATATTCTGAAACAAGGAATTGATTTTGTTCAGAGAGACACATGTTGCACTCATCGTGTTTGGGTGTTGCAAAAAGGCATGCAATTTTTTATGAAGGCCTGGGTGGATTCTCTGACCACCTGTAATCTACTCATCTGCTTGTAAACATGGTTTCCAAACGATAATATTTCGCTTTGACAACGGAAGTGACAGACAAATGTCACACTCTCTTTAGTGATGAATTAATTGCCTCAACCAAGTTCGTTATCATGTGACTATATCGTTTGCCCACATCAAATGATCGAAGTCATTTCTCCCTCGGGATTTTAGCAAGGTAGTTGTAGCCTTCCTGATTCTTGTGTCACATTTCTTCAAACAACTCGTTAACCTCGCGTGCAGAATATGAGTGGCCTACCCATTCAAAGCACCATTACGCGTTCATCTTCGTTCCTAAATTTCTGCAAATAATTTACGGCAATGTGGCATAACCAATACCAGTGATAAAAATGGGGAGGCTTCTAAGACATGCTCATACACTTTATTACGTATCTGATCCCTACGCCTTTGTTAGAAATAAGACATATCCCAACAGGGCGTTCTCATGAGACATGTGATAAAGCATATATGTGTAGGTAGTTAAAGAAGAATTTCCAAGAGTCTATATCTTTTTTTCGACTATTACGAATGTGATGGGATTGTTTTTCTATTGTTGTCATATGTCACTGCCAACAACATTATTTGTGTATATCTTCCATACAATCAAGTACCGTCAATTTGAACCATCGACTTATAGTACCGAAATGCATTAACACACTGCGAAAATATCCAAAATAACATGTGAAACTGGCACGCATCTTATACGACACAATCATTTTCGTACGCCAGAACAATTTCCAGTTTGACGACCTTGCCCGGTATATATTTCTTCATCAGTTTCAGCCATGGTCGCAACTCTTTGTACAATTCTTCCATTAGCCATACACTTTTTGTTGAACATGATACATAGTGTACCATGCTTTATGGTAGTTAACAGTGTAGCCGTGCTGAGATATGATTGCAGCATTACAACTGGAAACCATAATATGTGAATTTGTTTTGACCAGTGGTATGAAGGCATCACAAAGCATGTGAACATCTAAGTTTGGATGATCCTGAGTGAGTCTCCTTAGATGTGCATGTATGAGGTTGTTTGTATGTTGTTAGTTTCCATAGGTTGTTCAGTCTCTTCAAGCATGATACATGAACCTTCCAATTACATCTGTTGGACTTGTGGACGCATTCAACGATGTACTTATATGCGTTTGTTTTTTTCACAGTCGACAAAAATGACCGACTCATATTGTAGTTTTTAATTACAGTCACGACGAGTTCTTTTGTTCTGAATTTTATTCCAACATAAAGCTCACAATCACCATGTTCGTTGTATTGCTCAAGCTGTGGGAATTCTAGAAAGTCAATAGCTTTTAAAGGTTCCATCTCAATTATTGTAAAGTGGGATGATGGACGGTAAAAAGAAAAGGAGGCGTGATATGTGGAATGTCATCATCATTCGCTCCTTCTGGCATATCAAGGTTGTCTGGTTCTTCATTGAAGGGGTCCATATCGTCACCATCTGGGCTGATCTCCCTTAATGGTTCTTTGTCAGAATTATCCCCATCAAACCAGAATAGCTCAGCGTTGTCAACTACGGGGACAGTAGGAGTAGCATTTGTATGTCGATCACGAGACCGCTCACGAATCGTATTACGAAGATCAAAGTCGACAACACCAACACAAGAATGTCTCCCTATATATGTTTCCAACTCTTCGAATGGGTTAAACAATTCATATTCTTGCAACCTTATTTCCTTCTGAGAAGACGATGCACCAACACCATCGCTGTATGAATTGTACGTTATAAGTTGCAAATTCAAGTCAAAGTCCAAGCTAGCGACGCAAGAATGCCTTGGCACCAAAGAAGATGATTCACTAATCATTTCCCCAAGCAGTAACACTCAAAAAGTTCATGTCACTATGTAAATTAGCTTTCAGACTATGGACATAAGGACTGAAGTCATAATCAGCCCGTCTTCTATTTGGCACAGCAGTAGCATTATTATCATATGAGAAATCTAAATACATCTCAAGTGGTCATCCTAATAAATATTGCATGTGGCAATCGATCATCATGTCCACATAATCATCATCGTCATCATCAACATTGCATATTGAGTACATTAGTGGTTCTAACGATGTTGGTAGTCGATACTTCAACATGTTGATTTTTTTCCCGAGACTATGTGGAACAACATTATTGACTTCTTTCATCAACTTCTTATGAGTTAATTTTTTAGACAATGTCACCGTCATAATATGTGCGGACTAAAAGACGATGTCAAGAGAATCATCGTGCACAATTATGCCATCATAGTATACCAAAGCAGTAATAGTTCCTCTCTTCGACATGTTCTGAAAATATATATGATCATGCAAATATAAGATCAAAATATACACGAAATGACAATGCATTCAAACTATGTAATAATCAAGAAGCGTCAAATAAACTTACAAGTGAGATTGAGCATGTTGATCAATTTCTTTCTTTATTTTAACTTTGGGCGGCCTGCAAATAATATTCTTGACTTAACTTGACGTGGTAAGAACTTCGTGTTTTCCAAAACACGAGTTTATGATATTCCTAACGTGGCAACATTTGATTTGACATGGTGGTTTGACCTCGTGTCTTACGTAACGCGAGTTTCTGATTATATTTTTGACTCCCAACAACAGATATTCCTGACTATTGCCTACTTAAATTCCTTTTGTTCTACCGACCCAAACTATCTCCTCGAAACTTGCTCAAAAAACTTCTAGTTTGAAAAATACATCCTCTTCTGGTGGCATCTAGATTTTCGTTTATGCCTTCTGAGTTTTTTTTCCTTTCTGCTCAATACTGACTGCACAAAAAAAGAGGACGTAGTTTTCCTTTGTGTTTTTCTGATATGTGTTCATATCAGTTTATAATTTCTTATATGTGTTCATATCAGTTTCAATTGAATTATAAGTTGCAAAACTACGCTTGTAATCTTAAAATATTTCGCAAATGTTTTGCTTAACATCCAATATTACTCAACGAAAATTTCTACCAACTTATTTTTTAGCTTCGGGGTTTTTTAAATGATAACTCCATATTTGGTACAAATTTATTGATTTTATGTGGTTATATTTACATTAATTAGTACCTCGCGTCCTATAAAGTTTCTTTTGAACCGTTAGATTTTATTCGATTTAAAGCGTCACACCTTTCCAATGTGTACCTTGCATCTTGGGAAAAGTGAGGTCTAAGGAATCCTTGCCTCGGGATAAGTGCGGTGTTTGATATAAATAACCCCTTATTTTGGAAGGTTTCTTAAATCGATTTAAAAGCAAAATGACAAAACAATATTGTTTAATATTGTCAAATTTCCGATATAAGTCTTAACAAAATTTTATTTCATGTTGCTTCTAACTTCATCCTCGATTTCGTTAATGCGCAGTTGAGTTGCAAGAGTTTTCATAAAGTTGCCGATCATGATTACATTTTCAAGAACGTTTCCATGAAAAATATTAGCATCATGCTATGGTTTCAACTCGAGAAGATGATGTCTTCATGCTAACAATCCTGAAGCTTTATATAGAGAATGTATGTTTAATTTTTTAGTGGAAAAAATTCATACTTCGACTTACATTTATTGAAGCAAGCGGCCAATGGAGGTAACATCAACGCCATATATGTCTATGACCTTATTTTAGTTTGTTCTGGGGGCGAATTGAGGGATGAAGGACTTCAAATCGTGAGAGCTCTTGATCTCTCGAAAATAAATTTACTTGTTCTTCGTCCGGAAATGAATCTGTTTCCACATTTACAGTCGTGGCATCGTCACCACGTCACCTTCCAGATCAAATCGAAGACTACAGTTGTCCTGTCAACTGTGCACATAATTCAAGCCTCCAATGTTGGTACCGACATTATGACAATCTATGTACTTCTTATGCTTCTTGTTTTTGGAACCATGAAGGAAGTTTGTTTTGTCAAGTTATACGTAATTGTCATGTTCAATATTATTAGTGTCTATTTACATAACAATATATATGTTTAATATTATTGCCGCTATTAGTGTCTATTTACATGAGAGTGTACTTTTTAAAAATATTATTACACTAAATATTACATAATAAAAAATAATGCAGATGTTATGTAATTTCATTAAATATTATGTAATAAAAATAAAATTATTAAATTTAACACTAAAATTTAAATTATTAAATTAATTCGAAAAGACCTCACATTTTGAAAAATGTGAAATACCTTTAATATCACTCGTGATAAATTTCTCACAACGATCCATTTTCTTGGGAACCTTGCTTTACAAAAAACGCAAGGTATTAAATACCAATATTAAATTACTTCCTCCGAAATTGTCGTCCACGTCGAACGTTCCTCACTACTTGTGGAATGCGAAACACGTTCTCACGCTTTATAGGATGCGGAATAGCCCTTATGTACAGTTTGAGAGTTATTTTTCTAATAACTCTATTTAGGATTACTGTTAAAAAATTAATTAATGGGAATTTTTAATATAATATTACCATAAACAATTTAACCAGTCAAGTCAAATTTAATGTACTGTATAAATACTATATTTCCAAACCCATTTACTCTACTTCCACTTCACTTACCTCTTCTCAACCACATCATTTTTGCTTTCATCTTTCTTGGAAGCGGCAAAAATCGACCTTGGTAAATATCAATATTTGAAAACCAAAAACCCTAGGATTTACCCTAATTGGACCCAGACCCAGATCCAGAAACCACTCTGTGCTCAGGTCTCTCTTTCTCCTTCCTTCTCTGTATCTTCACTATTTTACAACGTCTTTTGCTTTTTGTTAATTGATTTCATTTTTTCCTTTAGGATTGTGCTTCTGTTTTTAGCATAGTTAAGTCAGCAATGGAAGTGGGTTGTTTCAGTCCAGTTGAAAAGAGAATCTGGGTGTGTTCTGTAATGGAAGCTTTGATGGCTGAGACTTTAGTTCTGGCTGGAAAGTCTCTTGCTTGCCTTCTCATGCTGGTATATTTACTCTATTATTTCTAAAGTTTTCCTCCCACTTTGAAACTTGTGTTGTTTGCTTCATTTGCTATGTTCTACTTTTTGGGGGTTGTCCAAAAAAAAACATTACATTTGTTTGTTTTTAAGGTTATGTTGATTGTAGTGTGTTATTCCCAACACATTTACTGAATTTGGTGGTTGACTTGACCCTCTCTTTGTCTCAATTGAGGTTTTTGAGATACCAAAGTGTTAGAATTACTACAATTTCTGTTATGAATTTGTACATTGGTTGTTAAGGGCAAGCTTTGTTTTCAGCTATTGAAACTGTGTGGACCACCTGTTGGGGGTCATAAGTTTTCCTCTTATTTTTAGAATAGGCGTTTGTGGAAGACTTCCACTTGTTTGCACTTTTTCTTTCTCTTTTAATTGATTTTATTACGTTTTATTGCTTTTCGATGACTGAAGCTTTTACTTACCTGAAATGGTGATTTTTTTCCGTGTAAGTTTAGTTTAAGCTTTGGTACGATAATTAACATGATCTTGCTACCAGAAAATAATATGCCTTTTATTGTATTGTCCGTAATTGAACAATTCCATATTCTTTATGTCCAGTAATGGACATTGCTGCCTGTGGAATCTGCAAATTTTGATTTTTAGTTATATTCAACATAAGATACTGGAATCCTTCTATGCCACTTCTAATGGTTTCCAAACGTCAACCGACGTTTCCCCTGCTCCTTGTAGTGCTTGGGATCTTTCTGTCTGTGTTAGAATGCATCCCAATACCATTACGTTTATATTGAGCTTCGTTGTGTGCTACCATTTATGAATAAGTTGGGTAAGATTGCTTTCCTTATCATTTCATACAGGACTGTGTTTGTAAATTGATATTAAAGATTTTAGTTTATGGTTCTTGATTTGTGGCATCAAGGTTATTTCTGACTCAATTTGGGAAGTCTGAATTTATCTTTGTTTGATGACGAACATGATTATTTTATTCATTTGAATAAGTTGCTAACATACCAATATAAAAAGAAATGTTGGCTTGCAAATAATCTCATACTGAGTTGGTTACTGTTGCGCCCCTATGTCAATGGACCATTTTTCCTTTTTTCTCTTTCTTTGATCTTGATTATGTTCTGGGTGGTAATATTCATATAATGTCGATCTGCATCATTAAATGTGCGGAGAAGCATGTTGCCTGTGAGAAGCTTAAATCATTTATTTGCTTATTTATAGCATTTTGCTCAGTATACTTTCTAACATTATTTATGATGTTGCAGACAGGAACAGTGTTGAATGATATGAATGCATCACTTAATTTGAATGCAGTGGATCAGAGGTAATGGAATTCCTTTCCTTTTTTTTATCTTAATTTATCATCCATTAATCATTGGTGAGGAAATCTGACAAGTGACGACTGGTGGGATTGACTTCTTTTTCAGGTTTCCATTTGACGAACTTCTAAAAGGAGAACAGCCTGGTCCAGAAAACAAAGATGGCAGTGATACAGAGGATGATGACGAAGATGAAGAGGACAACGTAGATGATGACAATGAAGATGATGAAGATTTCTCAGCTGAAGAAGGCGAGGAAGGGGATCCTGAGGATGAACCTGAAGCCAATGGGAATGGAGGGAGCAGTGACGAGGATGATGACAATGAGGATGATGATGGGGACGACGACGACGACGACGCTGAGGATGAAGAAGAGGAGGACGGAGATGAGGATGATGAGGTTCCTCAGCCACCTTCTAAGAAGAGGAAATGAAACTAATCATCAGCCTTCAGATATTCTACTATTTCCTGCTTTTTTTCCTCTGGTGGGGAAATTTTAGTAGGGAGGGAGAATTCAGTTTGTTTATTTGCTTAGAGTAGAAGATTCTCTTTTCCGGACGAACCTTATTTCCAGCATTTGTCATGTAGTCATGTTACAGGTGGTTATGATACATATCATTGCATCTTGAACTAACAGTCGGGGACTATTTGTTTAGCAGACCTTGGTATCCTTACTTGCATGTAATAGCAGGATCGCTTGATTAGGTCTTGGGCTTTTGTAGTAACCTGGTAGGGTTTGATCAAGCAATCAACTGTAAGTTGGAAACTGAAGTTTATTCAATTATGTCAAACTAGCAGGATGGAAATTACTGATCTTGCACAAGACCTGGCTTTACCCAAAAGCTAGAACCCGTGGAATCCAGATCTTGCGATCGTGTCTTTCTAAGCTTCCTAGCAGTTTTTGCATATGGAGGTACTTGTGTCGGACTTGATTTTGATAAAGAGAAAAAGGTCAGGAAGATATTGGAGTTTGATCTGAACGTGTTTTGAAGTGTTGAAAATATGAGGAATAAGCAACCTTCAGTAGGTGTTACGCTTTTCAAAGATTATTACTACAAGTTATTTCTAACATAGGGCTGTAAATGAGCCGAGTCGAGCTTGACTCAACAAGTAAAAAGTTTAAGGTTGGATCCTAAACAAGCAGCTGAACATAAATTGAGAACTGAATATTATTTCGAGCACAATGTGGGGCCAAGATTGTTATCTGGATGCACAAATTATATCAAGAAAATTACATTTTTAATCATACATGTATGTATATTTTTAATCGGGTTGGAGCACCATTCGGATTGAATGAATGATTATTAGCACAAGTCGATTCTTAAAAATGCTCATGACAGGAATTTAAGAGCGACAAAAACGTTCTTCATTGAACAAGACGGTAATAACAGTAACAACGTTGTTTCAACTCTTTCCTAGATTGGCCACCATCGTCAATGTCATCATGCGCTACAAATTAAATATATTTCATAATGAAACCTAGAAGGAAGAACTAAGAGGTGCCAGAAATGGTAGACGAGTAGCAGACAATGTCTTCACTTAAAATACCTTAAAAAGCAGCCCACCGTGTGTAGCAAAGAAGGGAGCAAAGACAAGTGATTCAACAGCCATTAGCTTGATGAGGATGTTCAGTGATGGCCCAGATGTATCTTTTAATGGGTCTCCGATGGTGTCACCAATAACAGCTGCCTTATGAGGATCTGATCCTTTAGGACCGAGAGCTCTTGCATGTTCTGAAGCACCAGCCTGCATTTCACAAAAATCCAGACATTAATATAGAGACACTACTTACAAATGCTAATCATAACTCAGAAGCAGAACCCATGGAAGTCGGTCAATATACGGATACCTCAATGTACTTCTTTGCATTATCCCAAGCACCCCCTGTGTTGGATGCAGAGATAGCAATCTGCAATCGTTACACAAATAAAATGGATTAGGACGAACCTTCTATAGGAAAATTTTCAAGCAGCAAGTTAATACGTATTTGATATTTCCAAATCATAAAGCTGTGGTAATATCAAATATTTAAACTAGTTAATATTACCTGGACACCAGAGACAAGGGATCCAGCAAGGACACCAGAGAGAGTTTCCACACCAAAAAAGATACCAACAACAAGGGGTGTGAGCATAACAAGGGCACCAGGTGGGATCATTTCTTTGATGGAGGCATCAGTAGAGATCTTAACACAGGTAGCATAGTCAGGTTTAGCAGTACCCTCCATGAGACCTGGAATTGTGTTGAATTGTCTGCGGACTTCCTCAACCATCTTCAAAGCTGCACTCCCCACACTCTTCATGGTCATAGCAGAGAACCAATAAGGAAGCATTGCCCCAACAAGCAAACCAATAAAAACTTTAGGGGTCAATACATCAACTGTTGAAACATCAGCACGGCTCACAAAGGCACCAAAGAGGGCAAGGGACACAAGGGCTGCTGAACCAATGGCGAAACCCTGGGAACAAATGCAGTGTTTAAGCAAACATATAAAGCTATATCAAGAAAAAATTGCAGCTATAGTTTAACATTAGTATGAAAACTACTACTGAAGCAAATAAGAATTACTCAAGATACTGAATAACGCCTAAATTTCATCTACACTAAGGTAAAAAAAATTAGGACATGACAAGAAAATTCAAGCTCCTTCGATAGACCAATGCAACACTTCACCAAAGACACAAGTGTGAACTGCAACAAATAAACCTTCGATAGGACTAGTAATGTAACCAACACAGAGACGCCATGAATATAATAAAATGAGAAAAAGAAGCCTTGTGCTTGAGTGGGTAAAAAAAACCTTTCCAATAGCAGCAGTGGTGTTTCCAGCAGCATCAAGAGCATCAGTTCTCTCTCGTATTCTGTGGCTCATGCCAGCCATCTCAGCAATGCCTCCAGCGTTGTCACTAATCGGACCATAAGCATCAATAGCTAATCCAGTGGCTATGGTGCTCAACATTCCAAGGGCAGCAACAGCAATGCCATACATAGCAGCAAAGCTAAAGCTTACAAAAATACTGACTGCAATAGCAAATATGGGAATAATGCAAGACTTGTAACCCAATGCAAGTCCGAAAATAACATTAGTTGCAGCTCCAGTCCTGCAGGAATCAGCAACGTCATGTACAGGGCTGCAAGAGAAAGTACGGGGAAGTGTTAAAATCAATAAATCTAAATGACTAGTCAAGGAAAAAAATAATGCCATCCAGACTAGTTACCTATATGCATTGCTGGTATAGTACTCGGTAACAAAACCAATAATTAGACCAGACCAAAGACCAACAGCAACACATAAGAATAATTGCCTGCAGAAGAAACTCAATGATAAGAACTCTAACACAATCATACCACTCTTGAATTTGTCAACAAAAGAAGCCCCAAGTGATTACCAGTTCCTCACAGCTTTCTGCTCTCCAAAGTTGAAAATGGTGAAGGAAGATGGAAGAGCTATCCAACTAACAACCGCAATTCCAATTGTCATGAGAACAGTGGAGATGATAAGTTGCCTCTTCAATGATGGCTCAATTTCCTTAACAGCCTTAATCTCAAAAAATTCAGTTGCGAATAAGGTTGTGATTAAACAAACAATGATACCAACAGAGCTGATGATGAGAGGATATAACATTGGAGTGAACTCATGATTGATGCCAAAAGAAGAGATGGAAGCAACAACAAGTGCGGCACATGATGATTCAGCATAAGAACCAAAAAGATCGGATCCCATTCCTGCTATGTCACCAACATTATCCCCAACATTGTCAGCAATCACCTGAAAACATAAGAGCAACTCAGTCACAACCTGAGACAAGGAACCGGAACTCAAATATAAAGAGCTATAACATATTCATAGATACATGTCACTTACAGCTGGGTTTCTAGGATCATCCTCAGGAATGTTCCTTTCCACCTTGCCAACAAGATCAGCACCAACATCAGCAGCTTTGGTGTAGATGCCTCCACCAACTCTACCGAAAAGAGCCATGGATGAACCTCCAAGCCCATAACCAGTGATTGCCTCAAAAAGACCACCCCAATCATCACCATAGTAGATCTTGAATAAGTTGATGGCAATGTAAAGCACCAAAAGACCATTTGCAGCGAGAAGAAAGCCCATGACAGCACCAGATCTAAATGCAGTGATAAATGCCTTCCCAACCCCCTTTCTTGCCTCCAGGGTGGTTCTAGCATTTGCATAGGTGGCTATTTTCATCCCAAGAAAGCCAGAAACAATTGAAGTGACAGCACCGAGTAAGAAAGATATTGTGCTGAATGCGGCAGTGGCAAGAGCAGGCTTGCACATCTTAGATTGGTCATATGTGCACGGCTGACTCTTTGTGCTGAAACCCTCTACCGAGCCAAGGAAAACAAAAATCAAGATTGCAAAAGCAACCATGAAAATGCCAACATATTGGTACTCGGTGAAAAGAAATGAGGTCGCCCCTGTAAGCTCATAAATCCAAAAATTACCTAACTGGTAAAGTTTTTCCAATGATTGCCAACAGAAAAGGCAATAAACAGAGCCACGAGATATACCAGTAATCTTTCGTAACAAATAATATTGTCATAACATTGTCCCTTTTACAAGCAAAAGATTTCTTAATACCATCCAAGCTTCTTCGACAAGTTTCCAGAAACAATGGAATAACAGATAAAATTGAAATAATTCGCCTCCAACATTAAGCTAACTGCATTTTGTTATACAAAATTGTTGACAGCAAATTAAATTTTATTGGATCTAAATAAATTTTGCATTTCAAGAGGAACAAGGAAATTAAGTATTTAAAATGAGGAACAAGGAAATGGTCCACCAGAAAATAGCTCATTACATTCCAACATTCCAAAAGTGAAATAAAGTGTTGAGAATAGCATATCATGAAATAAGGCATCACGTGCAAAAGTACTATGAAAAATATTTCAGACAAACTAATTAAATCATCCAACTTTTACGTCTTTGTTTTGAACCAAGAAGAAAACTTTTTGTGTCTTTGTTAAGACTTCCGGATCCGATATAAGTTCTAAATCTGCTACAAACTCCTTCAATTCCATTTCAATATACCATCTGCTACAAACCTAAAACTAAAAACCGGATAAAATAGGATTTAAAGAGGCCTAGAACTCAATTCTAGTCTCAATTTGCCAGGAAAAAGAACCAACAACTTGAAAAAATGTTGACAGTGAGATATAAATGTTATCTCACTGTTAAATACAAGTAGGTCCAAACTGCAAATTCCCCCATCTTACACTTCGATCTGAAGAAAACATTCATTGAAGCACATTTTTATATTTAGAGAGCTTGCAGATGCTGTTGTTTTTCATGGGTTTTCAATAATATATATATATATATGACAATTGTATTTTTTTTTTTAAATCAAGCACTTTTAACATAGAAAAACATGAAGAAAAGCAAATCTCGTGCTCCAACGCTTTTCCCTGTAAAAATTCACAAAACGACACAAAACTTTTGCAGACAACCCAAGAAAACTCCCAGAAACAAAACATTATGTAAAACACAATGAGAAACAAAATATCTAAACTTCAAGAACATAAAAACCAAATGTTTCACAACAAGAAGAAAAGATCCAGCATTTTTGAAGTAACCATTTGCATTCACTAATTCAAACGATCAAACAGGCACAAAACCCCAAAAAGAATTCACGGAAACTCTATATAAAAAAAACTAACAAGACTAAAACTATAGATTATTAAAGAAAAGCGGATCTAATCCACTAAAAACACAAAGAAAAATGAAAAGAGCAACAACCTTCAGAGATAGCGCTTTGAATTTCGGCACATTTAATAACAATATTAT